ATCCCTTAGCTCTGCTTCTTTACAAACCTTCATTTTGAAGCATGCTGTGACCGAAACCGATGGCATTTGAGGAGACACCCGAGGTCAGGGATGGGGCTCTGAGCACCTGTGGGGCTGTGGGTGTTCTGCTCATTGCAGGGAGTGGGACCAGGTGGCCTTTGAGGATCCCTTCCAGCTCAAGCGATTCTTTCTATGGACATCACTACATTGCACATTCCCTACAAAAAAAATTACTGTCTCGAAGACTTCATTTCATCACCAGAATTACTCTTTTCTTCTTCCCTCTCACAAACTGGCAAGGAAAGCAATCCTTGTAGAGCTGAGGACTCCTATGGCTGCAGTTGTTCTCAGCCCTGTTTCACTGCAAGGAGAGACAAAGCCCTGTAGGAACAGCTGGGCCCTGGCAGCTTTATAGGCACTTGGAGCACCTTATTGCTCTGTTAGACTTCTCTCTCTTGACGTGCAGGAGGTCACCGTGGGAATGCTGTGCTAGAATCCTGCCCATAACCCATGTAGGGGTATCTGAAACCCACCCCTTTCTCCCAGCTCCAGCTCCATCCAGAGTGCTCTGGGGCCGATGAAGATGCCCAGGTGCTTTGGTGGTGTGTGCGTGTCCATAAGGGAGTGGTGATTTGAGATGGGAATGGCATCAGGGCAGAGGGGGACGTGGGGCTGCTGAGCTCAGAGGGACCCCCAGCCTCCAATTGGGATCCCCAGGGCACGGCCCGACAGAAGCTCTATCGTTTTATGAAATCCCTCGTGTATAAAATGTTTATAAATATTTGTGGATGAAGAGACACAGGTCTATTTTTAAGATTTAAGTTAAATAAGTTAACAAATGGCTGGCCTTTTTTGCCTCGACGTGCAATGGGATCTATTATACCTTTAGTCTCCGATGGCCTAGGTACTGCTTAGTCTGTGATGAAAACTTTGCTGCTTACCCAATGTTCTCAGAGAAGAGCTGTAAGAGGCATACAGGTTTGTTGCACACGGACTACTGCAGCAAAGCTCTGTGTTTGACCACTGGTAATATGAATGTGTTGTATTGACTTGTCGAAGATAATCATGAGACAACATATTTTAAATGTTACTTGCCTTATAGATTAGGATACGGATACGTGGATATCATTTTTGTAAATAATGTTTTTTATAAATGTCTTTCCTCCATTCTCCCCATCATCCACTCCACCAAATCTCGAATATGCAATTATTTACCACGCAAAATATTGCAACAAATAAACCCCCACGTCAGAACAAAGTTTATTAATCCTATACATGAGAACCACATGAAACACCCCCTTACGTTGCAATTTAAATGTGATTTTTTTTTCCCCCCTTGAAAATAAACAGAACCCAGAAAACAGAGCTTTCTTTGTGTTTGTTTTGATGTCACAGGCAGGAGAATCTGGGGGGGGGGGGAACAAGAGGATCACGGGCTGCCATGTCTCAAATGGCATTGCTGCTGGGGCCATGCAATGTGACCCAGCTCAGGGATGGGGCTGCGATTGGGGTTGGCACGCAGAGAAATGTGGGGACCTGTGTGGACCACGGGGACATTGAATCATTAAGGTTGGGAAAGGCCACTGAGATCATCTATTCCAACCGACCCGTGGGGGCTGTGGGTCATCTAATGGGCTGTGGGGAGTTGTGGGGGCTGCGGGGACATGCAGTGCTTGTGGGGATACATGGGGGCAATGGGGGCATGCAGTGCTTGTGGGGATACATGGGGGCAATGGGGGCATGCAGTGCTTGTGGGGGCACATGGGGGCAATGGGGGCATCTAGGGGCCAGCGGGGGCTGTGGGTACACACGAGGGCCACGGCTTCAAATACACGCAAGGTCTGGGAAGACCCTTGTAGGCAACGGGGATCCAGCACGGCCCTGAGCGGAACATGAAGACCGAGCGGCGTGGCCGCAGGGACGGACGGGGAGCCGCGGGGGGTGACAGAGGGGCGGGCTGCGGCTGCCGGCGGTGTCTGGGCGGCGCTGCCCTCCGTTTCCCCTCGGCCTCCCCTCCGCCGCTGCCGGGATGCGGCGCGTCGCGGGCTGCTCGCCGCTCTCCTCCCGTCGGCCCAGCGCCTCCCGGGCCGAGCAGCGCGGCGGGGCCGGCACGCATCCCGCTGCGGGTAGGGGCCCGCGGTGCGGGGAAGGCGCGGGAGGCTTCGCGGCTCACTGTTCCCTCCCTCCAGGTCCCCCCGAACGATTCCCGGTGGCGGCGGTAGACGCCATCCTGAAGGCCGTGCTGGAGGGCTGCCTGCGGGAGCGGCGCTACGAGCCGGGGCCGTGCCGGGAGATGGCCGCGACCGTCAGCGAGGTGCGCTGAGCCGTGGGGCCGCGGTCCCGCTGGGTGGCCGAGGTTCCCCGGGAGCGGCCGTGCGGTGTTTTGCCGCCTACGTTGGTGGAGAGGGGCGGGAGGTCGCCGCTTCGCTGCGCGGTGGCTCATGTGTGTGTGTGAGCGCCGGGTGGGACGAGGGCGCTGCTGCCCCTGCGCCGTGCCTGGGTTGGAAGGACGTGGTGGATGTTCTTCACCCAGAGGCAGCGAGGCCCCAGCAGTGCCCAGAGCTGCGGGTGTCCCGTCCGTGGCCGTGGGCAGCTGCAGCTGGAGGAGTCACCCAGCCCACACGTGGGGCTTTGTGGCGCCTTCCAGCCCAGCCATGCTGGGATCACAGCATCACAGAATTGTAGGGGTTGGAAGGGACCTCCAGAGATCATCGAGTCCAACCCCCTGCCAAAGCAGGTTTCCTACAGCAGGTCGCACAGGTCGGCATCCAGGCAGGTCTTGAACATCTCCAGAGCAGGAGACTCCACCACCTCCCTGGGCAGCCTGTTCCAGTGCTCCGTCACCTCACCGTAAAGAAGTTCTTGCGCACATTTGTGCAGAACTTGCTATGCTGCAGTTTCCGGCCGTTTCCCCTTGTCCTGTCTCCACTCACCACTGCAAAGAGTCCCGCCTCACCATTCTGCCCCCCACACCTTAGATATTTATAGACCTGGATCAGGTCCCCTCTCAGTCTTCTTTTCTCAAGGCTGAACAGACCCAGTTCACTCAGCCTTTCTTCATAGGAGAGATGCTCCAGGCCCTTCTCCATCTCTGTGGCCCTCCGCTGGACTCTTTCCAAGAGATCCATGTCTTTTTTGTACTGGGGAGCCCAGAACTGGACGCAGTGCTCCACATTCTGTGGTTTTGTGCTGCTGTCCTGAGCCTTCAGCTTTACAGCTGGTTTGGCCCTGGAGCTCGGCAGCGCAGGACAAGCAGAGCTGCCTGTCAGTGTGAATGCCCACAGGGAAGTGACCTCATCAAGAACACTGCCCACCTGCGGTGTCTTCTTGCTTAATGTCTGCCCTTGTGTTCCTGTAGTGAAGCAGAGAGCTGTGCCTGCTCTTAGCAATGGAAGTGTTGGTTCTCACGCGCTCACTGCCTCAAAACCAATGAGTTTGAACTGCTGCAGGGTGCCCAGAGAAGCAGTTGTGCCCCAGCCCTGCACACACCCAAGGTCAGGGATGGGGCTCTGAGCACCTGGTGGAGCTGTGGGTGTCCCTACAATGAGCAGATGGCCTTTGAGGGTCCCTTCCAACTCTAACAGTTCTATGGTTGTCATCAGGACTGTCACAAGGGCTGAGCAGTGCCGTGCTGGCACTCTCCATCCCAGAACACCCCGTTGCTGAGCACCCCCTGCGCAGAGCTCACCGGGTGAGTCCCAGCACAGCCTCTCTCCTGCAGGTGATCAAAGCTCGGGTGAAGGACCTGGTGCTGCCGAGGTACAAAATCGTTGTGGAGACACACATTGGGCAGCTGAACGGGCAGGGCATGCAGATCGGCAGCAGGTGCCTGTGGGATCCCACCACGGATACGTTTTCATCCTATGTCTTCCAAAACACTTCGCTGTTCGCTCTTGCAACTGTCTATGCTGTCTATTTTGAATAGCAAGGTCGCAGCTTTCAGCAGCAGGAGAAATGAATTTCAGTCTGAGTCCTCCTGTTGCTGAGAGCAGCAGTGAAGGACCAAGGCAGCATTCAGCTGCTCAGAAGCGTGGTTCCCCTGAGCTATCGTTGTATTCCCCAGGGCTTTCCCTGGTTAGTGATTTTCTGTAGGATGCAATTTTGCACCTTTAGCTGCTTTCAGCACTGGGTGTCCCTGTAACACTTTTTCTCCTTGAATTTCCTGTGAGCTTCTGATCCCTCAAGAAATCAGAATGGTTTTTAGAAGGCAAAACAAATGCGTTTGGAACCAATCCGCACGATGGGGCAGCTCAGCCCTGGCCCCGTGCAATCACTGCCCTGCTCATGCAGGGTGCCATTGTGTGGCCATGCAGAAGGCAGAGAGTTTGCTTGGAGATGGCTGGCTGTCCCATCGTTTTCCAAATCAAGTGCCTTTAAATGAATCATGTTTGGATTATACTGATCTGACATGTCTGGCCCCTTTTATTTAAGGTGTCTGAGTGAAGTGAAAAAAAAAAAAAAAGAAATGGTCTTTCTCAGCTGCTACCTCCCCATAGACAACAGGAGAAATGCATCTCTCTGAGCTCAGAAATGTATTTCCCATCTGTCCAGTTGCAAATTGACTGCCCACTGGGCAGGGTGTCAGGTAAATGGGAAATAACTCATGACTCCTCCTGTGTGTTTTGAGGGCAGACAGCGGGGTCACTGTGTTACCTGCTGCAGCACTCCCCGTGCTGTGCTGCCCTGCACAGAGCATGTGCTTGGTGCTGCTCTCGTTTTGGTACCAGCAGGTGCTTGTTGCTACCCCTGTCTCACCGTTGATGCCCAGGTCCAAAAGCTGCTCTTGGATTTTTGTGGAATGCACACAGTAGCTTGCTGTGTTACAGCTTCTTATGCGCAAAGACAGGAGGTAGATGGGAGGACTCACTTCTAAAATGGCAATGCTAAAACGCTGCAATACTTTGTAGAATGGCAACAAACCCACCCGAGTTGTCTCTGCAGCTCCTACGGCTCAGCCTTTGCCCCTGCGCATAAAGAATAAAAGAATACAAGAACTGTGCTTTATGTCATGATTGTTTTAATACCTTCAAGCAACGGCCTCCGACCTGCCCAGCAGCGGCTGTGTTAGCACAGCAGGCTGATGTCCCTCTCACTGCAGCCGACGCTGCAGCAGGACGTGGTGAGCAGTTTGGCCACCTCGCGCTTCTTGAGCACGGCCACCTTCCTGCTGCGCTTCACGTCGCGCTCCTCCTGGGCTCTGTCCTCCTGGCTCTGCTCATCAGCAGCCCCCAGCCCCTGTGCTGCGAATGGGGAGGGCTCCCAGGAACCGCCGCTCTCCTGGGACGAGGACAGGGAGCTCTCGCTGCTCTCTGCTGCATAGAACAGAAGCTGACGGTTAGAAGTCGTGCCTCTCAGCCTGCTGCTGCTCTACATCCCTCAGAGGATGGAACTAGAACAGCTGGTGGTTTCCTGGAACACGGGCATGCTAACAAATCCAGCACCCAAACTGCTGGATGTTCACTTGTGCTTCTAATGATGTGCATTCTATACACGGCGGTATATCCAGGCACACACTCCTGGAGTTCATACAGCTACAGGGGCTTCATTCAGCAGCGGTGCTTCCTGCTCTCTGGTAGCACACTGCATTGATGGCATTGGTTTTTCTGTTGAAAGCTGCTGCTACAACAGTATTGTCTAAACAGGCAGACGTTATTGCATGGAAAATGTGGGAAGCCCCTGCTCCTGTCATCTGCCTCATCTATCTTCTCTTTTCTCTAGTCATTGTAATCAGAGCACAGATCTCCAGCAGTGCACGCAATAGCTGAGTACACAACAGCGTGGGAAGGTTATTGCAGATTACACGTCTCACATTCTATGTTCTTAATCCTAATATTCTCAAATTGTTCATGTATTTTCTGGATTAAAGTGGGAAAGAGGTGTGTGCTGCTCGAGCTGGAGGTGGAACACGTGCCAACTGCAGCAAGGCTTCCGTGTGACACGTCCGTATCATAGCACAGGGCTGTCCTGCCATAACCTTGGACCTAGCTCACAGTTCCATGCAATGACTTATGGCACCTTTTCCATTCAGCAAAACAGCATGTGGAGCTAAGAAAGCAAGCCGTGAGGAAACACAGAGCACATATTCACATACGTGAAGCTGTGCTGCTGTGCTTGGGATGCACCTCCCAGCTCAGCACCTGCTGCTACTTTGCTCCTCCTGAGCCCCCTCACAGTCAGGCACAGCCAGCACTGGGGTGAGCCTGTCGTGCATTAGTTGATAGCGGGGTGATAGGTCATGCATTAATTAGTACTCACCAAACAGGTACTGGTAATTAGCCAGATCCCTCTTCCACCGGGAGCCGCCACAGGTGAAGACGATGGCTCTGACAAAGTCTCTCCCGCAGAGCTTCACAGCATTGCCCTCCCCTTCGGCTCTGTGCAGCACAGCCAGCAGGCAGAGCGCAGCCAGGGCCAACAGCGTGCTCCTCATGCTGGGTTTTGGGGCTGGAAGGGCAGCGAAGGAGTGCTGTGTGGGGCTGAGGTGGGGAATGCTGCTGGGAGCTCCCATTTATAGGGGTGGCCCATCCGCTCCACTGGGCAGCAGCTCGCTGCAGGGTGAGCTCATGTTTGCCAGAACCAATTGTGTTTGTGGTGATGTTTGAAGTGCCTCGGGGGTTTGTTTGGGTGTTAAAGACATCTTAGGACTGTGTAACTGCTTTACAGTAGGAATACTTGTAGCATAACATGTTTATAGGAAACGGGCTTACATCAGTGCTCTTAATGCATACGTGCTGCAAAAATGTTTATGACGTGTTTTGTAGGTAATGGGTTTCATCTCCATGCGCTTCCCTTGCAGCCCGTTGCCACCATGTGATGTGGGGCCTTGCTCTGTCTGTGATCCCAAATAAAGATGGGAATTGACTTCTTCCATGGGCCCATCTGCTTCGTCCTCCTGCTGAGCATCCCCTCGTGCTGCTGGCAGCTGTGCGTCGTACTTCAGAGCAGGCTGAGGGCCAGGCAGCCCCTGTGCTGTGCAGGCAGAGCTGGGCAGAAGGGCATTGTGTGCTGAGCACGTGGGGCTTTGAGCACAGTGAGCTTGCTGTAGCAAGCTGTGGAGATGCTGTTGCTGTTCCACACCTTGCACCCACAGCTATTTGCTTTGCAGTTGTCTATGGACAGAGGGCTTTACTCAAAAGACACAGAGAAGAGGGGCAATGGCACTGGGAAAGCACAGAACAGCTAAGGATCAGCATCCTGCCAGCCTTTTCCTACTGAAAAGTATCTGAAAGCCTGAGTGGAGCAGCTCTGGGACTCGAGGTCAGTGGATCAGTTGTGCTATCGGAGCGGCCCAGCCCTGCCTGGGTGTTGTTGGCTACTGTTGCTGTAAACTGATAAAAAAGAATATCCTGCAATAAAATGCCTCAAAGAGAAAATTGGGCAATTATGAGGTCAGAAATTCCGTATTTAAGAGCAAAATGAATGATCCTTAGCACTTCCTAGCACCACGAGTGTTTTTCCAGCCCCGTAATGTTACAGTTAATTAGTTTACATGATGTGCAGGGCGAGTTATGAAGTGCTACAGCCTTGAAAGCTCATTTTTTACCAGTAGCATCAGTAAACAGTCATAACCAGTGGTAAAAAATACACAGCATGCTTTGATCAGGTTTGTAATAGTGATTAACGTGTGATTCACCTTAATGGATGTCTTTTGTTGAAACGCACAGATTCGTTTTATGCCCACCCTGGAAAAGTAAGCGTGGATGTTGGTTGTAAAATGCACAGAATGCAGAGGGAAAGTGCGTGGTAATGCATCCCAAATGATCTGTAACTTCAGTGATGTGTTTAAACATTGGGCATTTATTGTGAGGCTAATGAGAAAATCTGGATGCTCTGTGCATGTAAAATATACATCTAGCCATGTAGTTCTTCCAGGAGCAGCTATTGCCTGTGTCTGCTGAGGGCAGAGCACTGCACGGAGCTCCTATGATGGGGGACCTCTTCTGTGGCTGTAAGATAGAAGAGCTGCAGGTTATGTCCTCAGCCTACCTGTGTCTTTCAGTGGAGAGGTCTCTAGAAGCAGAGATCTGCCTTCTAAAGCTGCAGAAGTCCATTTAAATTGTGGCGTTGTTCAAATTGGTCAGGTTGAAAAAGCTGGTCTCTAATTCTTCCTGGCTGGGGCAGTCTGGATGCTATCAAAGCTCAGCTTTCAAACTCAGTTGTAGTTTTGGGGAGGGCAGACAAGAAGGATCTGATGAGAAGTCCATTCGTTTGCTGTGTAATTTCACAAGGGAAGAAATGGATGGCAAACAGCCATACTCCAGGACTTAAGATGGACTTAGGGTGCATGCTGGTTCCTGATGAAGTAGCCAATACAGGAGGTGATTTGGGGCATTTCTGTTGTGTTTGTGTGGGGTTTTTTTGAGTAACCCAAGGAGAAAAGCCTTTCATGGGGCCTTTCTATGAGCTCATCTGTGCACTGGTACAACAGGCTGACCATCCAACAAGGGGGACTTCCTGTGGAAAATTTCAAGCATTTCAAAGGTATCTCTAACCAGTATGGTTTCAAATCTAAAAGCTAATGAATTAAAAGCACTGAACAGTTTGTGATAATGCTAAAAAAAACCTTTCCTACTGTTTACCAGGTGAGAAGTGCAATCATTTAGCTGCTGGAAGTAGAGCGGGACCGATTACATCACTCAAGGCATCAACCTGTAAAACAAGAGGTGAGAAAAAGAAACTCAGAAGTGATTTTAAGAAGTACAGGTCCTATTTTATGAACTGGGAGTGCAAGGCCAGTAAGGCAAAGCTGAAAGGACCAAGTTCATTAGGCTCCAGAACCTCGTTTGGGGCTCCAGTTCAGGCACAGATAGATCCTGCAGGGGGGATCAACCTGCTTTTCTGTGCAATGGACCATGCAAGGAAGGCCCAGTGGAGCTTTGGTGTAAATCAGCACTGATTTATGCTTGCCAGTGTTTGGTGGGAGTAAAAGCAGACACAGGGGGTTCACAGCTGATTTCAGTGAGTTGCTGACACAGTGTTTTGCAGTGGTAGGAGAGGAAGAGAACCTAGTTGAAATGCAGTGAAATGGAGAGAGATAGCTTTACTTCTTCCTCTCCTGCCCAGAGAGCAACTCAAGAGGATTAGTAGTGGCTTCTGAAGCAGTGAGGGTAATGCAGGGCCACAACGCTGGTGGGTTTGCCGACGCCGTTGAGCTGAGGCTATCGTGCTGGTGGCCAGGAGAGGGCATTTCGCTCCTGCCTCGCCAGCAGGGAACGGCATCCTGCTGGTTCGCTGCCCTTGCGTTTGTGCGGGGCTGTGCCTCCCACCCTGGCCCTCCCAGCTGCAGATGGGGAGCCTCTGAGCGTGCAGTCGGCTGAAAGCTGAAGTTTGAAGTTGACTGACCTGTTCCTTCTGTTGACGTTTCTGTCAGCATGGCATACAGAAGAGCAGAAATCCTGTCAGGTTTTAATCTGGTCACCTACCTGTATCCGATCATGCCTACTAGCTACATTTTCAACTAAGTTCTGTAACAGCAGCCCCTGTCTGGAGAGGTACCAGATGTCAGATTTGAGGACCGCTGCCTCTTCCCAGGGAGTCGTACCTCAGTGCTGCTGCAAGCAGCCAGGTCCTGCAGCTCAAACACACTGACTTCTCCTCTGCTGTCTCCCACCAGAAGGCAGTCGGTGTTCTTAGCAAAGAGTACAGATGTGAATTTGGCTTCTGGGTCGGCAGAGCGAGTGATCACAGGGTCCAAGCTGCAAGTACATGTGTGAGTGATGGTACGGGTAAATTTGCATCTGCCTGGAGCGTACTATTGCTTACAGTCTGGGGGTAATACAGGCTTGAAAATGTCACATATTTTGCATTTTATCCTCTAGATTGGCTCCAAAAGCAATAAGTGAGGCAGTGCATTGTTTTTCTATCAGAACAAAAATCCCAGCTGGAACTAAGCAGATATTCTGGTTGCCTAAAATCTGTCCTGTTGCCTGATATTGGGGGTGTGCTTCAATATTTTTATAATATGACTGAATTGCTTTGTGCTCCCACGGGGCTCAGTGGGCTTCCTGCTCCACTGCTTTCTTTACACAGTCATTACTAATAAACAGTCCAAGCTGGCAGTAGTACCAGGCTGTGGGTTAACAAAGAGTAATGAGCATTGGAAAATGTAATACTTGTATCGATAGTTAAGCAAGCAGATGACAGGGAGTTGTATGATCTGATGACAATACTGATTAAGCAAAAATATTTAGTCTCTGTGCTTTTAAATCTACTATTTCAGAATCTTCTTTGAGACGATCAATTACTTACATGCTGGTGCTAAGGTCCCAAATTTCTACTCTGCTTTCACTAGCTGCTGCAAATGTGAAGGCTGATTTTGGAGACCACATAATGTCATGAACAACAGTAGTGGTGGAACTGAAAGTTAAAATGGGTGTCTGCGAGTTCTGGTGCCATAAAATAACGCTCCAGTCCACAGAGCAGCTCAGGAACGTGTCTGTGGTGAACGGATTCCAAGCGACTTTGTACACAGGGCCCTGGGTGTTTGGGAAGAAACAAAACAGAACTTGGTGTCAGTCTAGAGCTACAGCCTGGAGATGGGTTTTAACAGTGCTCTCTTCTCACTGAGCTTTCACGGAAACCCCTCGCTGTCCTCTGACCTCAGCAGCAAAAGCAGCACTGTTTTATGGGTACCCATAGGAAATTAGATTGCAGCCAATATGGTAAGGCAGGAGGGGAAGAAAGCATTCAGCTGACTGCCTCTTCCTGAGCTGATGCTGGAAGGACAGCTTCCTGCATGGAGCACAGGCTTGCAAAAAAGGGAGGTGCTGTGCTGTCGAAGTTCTGCTACCTCCCCACCCCTCAGAGATAAAGCTGTTTAACTCTTGTTTCCAGGACAATCAGATTACTGGTTGTTCTCTTTAAATAATGCCAGAACTAAAGCTTTACAACAGTTTATACTAGAAGCTTTAATACATTACTTTAAAAAAAAAAAGCTTCTAATGTAGAAAGTAATCCTGTAAGTAGATGCTGCTTTTTGCTATGGGGACTCATTCCTAATGTAAGAAAAGAAGTTTAGGTTTCTTTTGTTGCAAGAGTTTTGTTTAGGAAATAAAAGAAGCCATTATACTGGTGAAGTTAATTGAATGCTGTTTCTGCTGTCATTACTTCTTTCACTCACCTTATGTCCTCTGTATGTCTTTAGGAACTGCTTGTTGCATGAACGAGAGCACTTGTGAATAAGACCCTCCTCTGTTCCAGCCAGATAAAGATTAGTGTCCTGAAATAAAGGTAAAATAACCTAAGTAAAGGTAAATTAACCTACCTCTCACTTCTACAAAAGTATGTAAAGAACTATGTGAGTTTGGGCAGTGGTGGCACTCTGCAGAGCTCAGGTGGAGGTGGCAGGACGCTGTGGTTTGGGCTGCCTGTGTGTGTTGCAGAGATGGACGTGCAGTGGGTCCAGCGGAGCCAGGGTCAGATTTAGTGCGTGTGTTGTCCATCTGTGCAGAACAAGAGGCTGCAATTTGTGATTCCTGAAAACCTTTGTGTGGCTTACATGGATGAATGGATGAATTTTTCAAATGCTCTGTGCACAATTAAAGGAAATCATCTGGATTATTAGGAGAGGCAGAGACATCAGAGTGCTAGACTTAGGAGATGTTCAACAGCTGAATTCTACCTGGTTTGACCCACACAGAGGAAAGCTGCCCTAGGATCTGGCCCAAAGCAAATGTGAGTAATGTGGCTGAAACAATATAGCTGTTCACATACAGGGATGAGCTTCTTTGATTTCCATATCATCCCTTTTGGATCAAACTGTTACTAATTAAGAAGCAATTTGTTTCAAAACCAAGTCGCCTTTAAATAGCAGTGCCGAATCCAGGCTAGTGCATCTTAAGGTAGCTTCAGAGGAGGCTCTGACCTCTGCTGCGTGGTTTCTCTGGAAAGCACTTCAGCCAGGATGGACTTTGTGAGCCTACCTTTGGATGGAAGTCGAAGCACATCCCAGCTGCCCACTGGGACATCAGAGCTTCGCTTTTCCCTTCTTTCTCAGCTGGTAAGTTTTTCCTCTTGCTTCTCGTTCGCTTTATTTTCATCAGATCTGTGCAATTAACAAGAGTTTTGGTCAAACAGGTCTGAGTTATTCATAGCACCATCACATGCTTCAGTGGAATTCTCAACAAGCTCTGAAATGTTTTGTATATGATAACTATGTGCCAAGATCATCACATGCAATAGAAGAAGTAATTATAATTTCAGGTATTAGCTCTGTGCAGGGAAATGCTTACCAATGCAACCCAGTCCCTCCTGGATGAGCCACTGGGTTATGCGGCCATCTGCTGAGATGGAGATTAATCTCTCCCTCTTGGGACCTCCTATTGTGCCTGTGTCCCACTCCACCCACTTCAGTTGCCATACAGGACCTGTGTGTTTAGCTGAACATTCCCTGGGATGAAAAATGCAGAGAGAAACCACGTATCAACAAAGTAAGACAATACTTCTGAAAAAATAACTGATTTCCTGTTTCGTATTGGATGATAAGTGTTATGACAAATGCTATTCAGCTTTCCATAAAAACATAGAAATGTACACATCTCCTAACGTGCTGTTTACAATAGGACATATTTGTTTTACCAAACATGTTTTATATTCAGTTCTGAGTGCTTATAAAGGAATTTCTAGCCAGAACTAGAAAATAATGACACAAGTTGGAAATAAAAAAAAAATTATGCAACATCAGTGAGCATTCACAAGCCTTTAGTGAGAGCTGTTATCACAGAACCACAGCATGGCCTGGGTTGCAGAGGAGCACAACGCTCATCAGTTCCAACCCCTGCTGTGTGCAGGTCACCAACCAGCAGCCCAGGCTGCCCAGAGCCACATCCAGCCTGGCCTTGGATGCCTGCAGGGATGGGGCATCCACAGCCTCCTTGTGCAATCTGTATTAGTCACACAGCAAAAAGGAAATAATGAATATTTGCAGCTGAGAAGCTAAGACGTGACTGAGGTGGAAATGACAGAGCATTGTAACCTTACCCACTGTGGAATTCTGTAGTGGAGTCAGAACTCTGCACGTTGTAGACCACGATGATGCCACTGTACATCCCAACTGCTAAAAGGTTCGGGATTGCCATAGAAAAATCCAGTGCAGTAACACCATGCTCACAATGGAAAATACGCTCTGGCCACTGACAGATAGAGAAACACAAGAACATTTTTTAGTTAGTTTCTTAATTTGGCTTCTGAACGTGGGATACTGAACTGCTCTGTAGTGCTGGAAACCCAAGTGCTGGTGGCCAGAGTGGGTGCCTCTAAGCAGAAATTGGAGGCTACGTCCTGAGTGGTTCAGTTTATTATTTCTTGCTCTAACTGAGAAAGTTAGGGGGAAAAGTGAGGACTCTGCAGCAGTGTGGCACTGTAAAGCGAGTTACACAAGCCCATTCCAAACCAACTAACTAAAAATCAAGTTCTCTTCAGATTCAGTGATAGGAGTACAGTGCCATTTTGGAAAGTTCCTCCAATCATGTTCTGTCTTGCAACTGGAAGGCAAGTGCCTTGCTAATTACAGTAATTTAGCTGAAGATACCATTTAACTGCTTTAGGTAAACCGTAAAACACAATTTTCACGTTATTTTTCCATCTTGCCAGAGAACCGATTCTGCTCTGCTGTAATGTGAAACCCTTGAAGCCACTGAGCTCCTGAGAAGGGAGACAGTGAGGTGCTGGTTTGCAAAGCACCGTGTTTCAGTGTGTGCACCAGCTCTTACTCCTTCATTGTAGGCACTTGAGGACAACATTAAATGTTTCATTTACTTTTTTTTCTTTGCTCTGATGTAGGATTTCATTGTACAACAGAAAAGGGATTGGAAAGGATAATCCTGAAATTTAAAATACAGATGTATCGTAATCAGAATTTACAAACACCGAACAAATGGTTTGTAGGTTTAGAAAAACAAGCAGGAAATTGATTTTCTTGCATTTGTTGTGCCCAGGTCTTTCCCAGTCTGCTACAAAAATCTTTTCAGAAAGGTCTGCACACCTGGAACTACCCATAATAATAATAAATCTGATTTACAGGCTTGGGTAGGTGGCTCTAGGGGTTGAAAACGGGATGTAGAGGGCTGCGTTGTTAACTGGCCTGAAATAGACTGGTATTACCTGAGAGCTGCAACCGTCTGTTGGTTGTTTGGTAGCTTACATACAATGAGTGCAGGTCGTGCAAACAGACACCCATGTTGCAGAGCCTCCAGCACCTCTGTTGGCACTGTCAGCTGAGAGGACAGACAGGCACAGGAGCTAAACCCCATCCTGCAGGCACACAGCTAAGCACTGCAGGCAAAATGGTTTTCCAGAATGGTGTGGTTTGGGCTCCCAGATTCAGCTTTACTTGCCACTTCTTTGGTTTTGGTCTTTGTGGGTTTTTTTAAGGGGGAAATGAATGAAGCAGAAACAGTACAGCAGAAAAATGCACAGAAGAAGAAAGAAGACAAAATCAGGACTTCTGTTACCATTGGGTTCTTCAGGGACCAGCAGCATGCCAAGCCTTCCTTCTGTTCTTTAAAATCAAACGCTCCATAACCAACAGCTAGAAGATCCTAGAACCACAGATGAACAGACAGATCACAGTTTAACTTCACGTGCAGCTATACATTTTTAAAAGGCAGCTTTCTGCAAACAGTGGCTTTGAGTACAAGGCTTGGAAATGTGTTCATGATCTACACGAGTAGAACCTGACACAAGAAAAGAATTTCTAGAGAAGTGGAAATTGGTTGAACAAAAACTGTAATGATGGTCACTATCAGTCGTTTGCCACCCTTTCACCTCCCTAAGGCCATTTTAAAAACATCCCTTGCTAATGGTGAATATACAATATTCTGTGACCTTAAATGTGCAGTCTGTAATAGGATGTCACAGCAACTGCAGTCCTCTTTCCCACTGCTAGCTATAGAAGGATGGTAGCCTCAAACTTATCTTTCAGCTGTTGATGATAGGGTCTAATAAATCTAATTCACTCCTTTCCATAAGGGAGACTAAAGAAACAGCAGCAAGACTTCAGTCTTCAGCTCCATTCAAATATTATGTTTTTTTCCTACTTGAAAGCCAGGTGGTGAAGCCAGCACTTAAAAAGCAGGCATTTCTTTGCTCTGAAATTCTAAGACTGCAGTATCTAAGGGTGTCCAACTCTACACCAGATCCTTAGATGTTATATTAACCTTGTGACATGGTCATTATTTTCTCTTTCTTCCTTCGGAGCAATCTTAGTGGATTTATGTTTCTCATCATTCCCTGCTTTTTACCTTTCTTCTGCACGTTATTTTTGTTGTGGCCATAACAGAGCTCTGTTGGAAAAAAGTTTCAATTTCAGCTTCCCATCCAGACAAGGTTTATTCTCTTTATGCTGTAAACACAGGGCAAACACCTGTGATGTATGGGGGACCAATTAAAGCTGCTGTGATACGCTTGTAGCAGAAACCTGTCCAGCCTTGGGAATAAGGCAGCAATTCTGTTACATGCAAGGATGAAATGCAAGTGTTGTGATGCAAACACAACCAACCTGACTGGGGATGTGTGCAAAAACATGTATTAAAAAAAAATCAGGAGTTCATTTACATTGAGAATTATGTAGACATTTCACAAACAGCTTGGAGGTGATTTGTTAGCTCACCAGGTTTACTTTGCTCCAAGCCATGCTGCTCACATTGTGCTGGTGAGTTAAATCACATCTATAGGACCACAGTTGTTCCAAAGTGGGAGGTACCATTTCATCTGAGGTTTTATTTAGCTCTGACAGAATTGATGGCTCACTAAGCATTTCCTTCTGCTCTTCCTTATCCATCTCTTCCTTGTCATGCTCTTCCTGCTCAGCTTCTTTTATGGCAGCTGATGTGCTGCCAGCCCCCAACGCAACAACAGGGTCTAAAATGCATAGTAGAGTAGAATCTGAGTAGTAACACTTCATTTAGTTAACTCCAGTTGTTCACATCAGAAGAAAATTTGCACTTTCAGCAAGGAAGAAAAAAAAAGAAAAGAAAAAAAGAACAGAAAAAAAAGAAAGAAAATAGATGGAAGAATTGAGGAATTAAGACAACTTTACTACTAAAAGAGTGGCTAAGGTGGCAATAGGGACAAAGAAGATATCAGTTATGTTCAAGACATTTCAAGTTCTTTCTCAACTCTCTATGCCATGGAAAGGTATGAAACAGTAAAAGCAGTCTGGTTTCTTCAGATAGTTTATATATATATTGAAACTCCTGTAAAAGGTGCAGTACTACTTAGCTGTTGGGCCCAGGTAATGCCTCTTACAGACTTCAGTGACTGCACTTTGTTGCACACCTAACAGGCTGAATCTTCTGTTTACTTTTTGTCTAGGTTGCTTACTTTAAAAATAACAATAAGGCATTACAGTGCAACAAATGCTTGGAGAAATAGCTGACTTGATCTGTATCTCAGCTGCCAGGAAATGGTTCTGATTGATATTTTGAGTAGGTCTCAGCAGCAATAAGGGAAATGAGCCAGCTCAGAATTCACGAATTCAGTTCTTCTGCCAAGTGTTGTAGGGACGCCTGTTACAGAGAGCATAAAGCTGCTCCATTCAGGCTAACATCTCATAAACTCTTGTGTCTGTTTTTTAAATGGCAGGTCAGCTGTGAAGACCTTCAATGAGAGAGAGATTTCCTTGATTCTCAATAGTTTACAAAGCCTTGTGATGAAAACAGGGTTGCTGGTAAGAAACTAACCGGTAAGGACAGGAAACTGTCGATAAGCTGCGAGTTTGGGTTGAAAAATATTCTCCATCAGAATCCTCTCCATGAAAAATAAATGCTGCTGAAAGTTTTCTGATCTTAACGTAGCTTCTGTGTGGCATTTCTCCTCCTCGTGGACTCTGGCAAGACCAGCACTTTCCAAAATGGTCGTAGGAGTTATGCTGCCTGATAACAGATAAGATCAGATAGTATGGCTTTAATGTGATACTACTATGCAGATAAAACTCAGAAGGATAAGGTGTCTCATGCTCTCTCTCTCCCCCCCCCCAGAAAAAGCATAGAAATATCCATCATTACCAAAACAATACTTATTGTTCAAATAATCAATATGATGAGATACTTCTGGATTCTTCACACAATTTATGTCTTGCTCCTGTCCAAAGTAACTTAATATCATCCAATTTTGTCACTTTCTGTCTTTGCTGAAGATCGGTTATGAAAATGTATGCTATGCACTGTTTAGAAGGATGAAAAAGCTGAAAAAATGTAAACTTCCCAAAAACAGTTACCTCTTTCAGCAGCTGCAGGTGTAGCCTCGTCTTTAGTCATATCAGAGGTGCTCTTCTTCTCAGCTGGGGCTCTGCTGCCTTCTGCTTCGGAGGTAGGTTCTACTTGCGACGTGTTAAAAGAATTGTACAAGTGCCAGGTAGTGACCACTATCCCTAGGAATGAGTTACACCACATTATTTAAGCCCCTTGTGTCTGCATGTTGTTATCAAGAACCACAGCTGAACAAAGATTTACTTTTTATGCTGTACACCCGAGTGTTTGGCAGAGGGGCTTCAAAACTGAGTCAGGCAGCAACCTTGTCTGTGTGTGACTGGCTCTTCAAATGTGGGTTGGAATGAGCCCTGCTGGTGCTGAAGGCACACAAAAGGGGAAGATACATTTTCAGACCAGATTACTATTTATTTTACTTCCCCTTTTGATGTATTGTCTTCTTTTCAACTCTTTTTCTAGTAAAGAACACAAAAATGTTAGGAATAGCATTCCCCATAGTTTTCTTTGGCCTCCCATATAAAGTGAGGCAAATCTCAGTACCCATATCCACAACCTTGATATTCCTGTACGATTGTCTTAGAGCCTTGAGCTTGAACATTTTGTAAGGTTGCATTTTACCGTGAGGCTTCCACAACTTTCTGCTTCCCTCAGGATTTTAAATGTCAGAACAAAGGTTCTCTTCTTTGCATTATGGCAAACAGAAACAGAAACTGAAAAGTTAGGGGAGAGGAAAGGGAAGCTATATCCTTTTATATTTCAAGAGCGTAGCATAAACAAAATGGCATAAAACCCAACTGGCAAGGGAACTGTGTTGTAAATGGGAGACTGCTTTGATTTACTACCCTTTCCTGGATAGTTCCTACATGGTCAGAGTTTACCTTTGTCTTCCATGATGATTTTGTCACATTGTACTTCCTTGTTCTTTGCAGCTCCATTGATGGTTTGCATCGTTTTCTCTACAAAGCGATCGTTACCAGGTCTGTTTTTGCAAACGTCAGCATACATCTTATTACGCTCCCTTGAAAAGAAAGCAGGTGTATATTAACTTTCTGAAAAATGTTTTCATTCTTCTCAAATCACGTAACCATCAGCTGAACAGAAAACTATGCTCCATGTCATGTGTTAACTGCTAGGGGTTTTGTGTGTGTGTCTGGGGATTTTGTTTCATCCTGCACATCATCTTTCAGCAGCTGCTTCTCACCTTGTGACGCTGTTCTAGAACAGAAAAGCAGAGAGGGGCTTTAGTAAAAATCCCCACTCCAAATAATTTTGGTCTTTGTTGGAATTTGGTTCGTTGGAAATATGTGACTCTCATCACTTAGAAGTGAAGGGCGGTGCATCCAAAAGACAAAAAGAAATCAGTAGGTTTCCATTTCATCCAGCACTCAGGACTGTAGGAATGGTCAGTGGGAACAGTGGGGCTTATTGTATTCTCTGAGTTTTAATATCCTGACAGCAGACATGGATTACACCAGACCTTAATCCACCAGCAGTTTGCTGCACCATCCATTCCCATACAGCCCAGTATGGCTTCAGACACAAATGAGTGGCAAACTGGAGCAGCCAGAACACCAAACCCATCTGCGAGCTGCCTGTTGGGTCCCTGTGGTCAGGAGAAGTTCGGTTTGCTGAGCATTCACTATGCATGTATGCAATTGCAAGTATACATACAGAACTCTTGCAGCATCTTCTGATTCTACAGACACCACAACAGGTGGCAAGTCCAACATCCAGAGAGTTTCTGTCTCTGTGAGATAAATATCCACTCTCTTGTCTAAGTCTTCTTCTGTCTCTTGTTCTTTTATCTCCTCTCGCCTCACCTGTACATCTGACAAGTTATAGGAGGTTAACAAGTGAGACTTCTGCTCCCAGTTCAAAAGAAGGCAAATTAACTCTGGAGGTACCATAATAAACAGGAGCCAGAACCTGTGAGGCCCTGGGTGCCTCACAAATCTCAGTGCTCCAAAGAAGAGTTTAAATCTGTAATTACACAGTGTATATTCCTTACCAGGTGAGCTAACAGCTGTGTCTTGGAGAGAGCCAGGTGCTGCTATCCCATCTAGCATGGACTCTGTTATTGACATGGTAGATTTAGAAATTCTGCTGCTTTCAGATGTCCTTCAATAACAAAGAAATAAGTTGAAATGGTACATGAGAGTCCAGATGCCAGTTAGCAAAGTGCTACGAAAACAGCAGTGTTATCAGGATAAAGCACAGAGGACTTTGTGATAGCATGTACAGGAATGCTTGCTTTGTAAAAGAAGTCGTAGAAGACTTTGCAAAGAAAATAATGAAAGGGATGGAAAAAGACTTAAAGGGGAAGAATTCATCCAACAGCACATCCTGGGGCATTAAATAGCTGCTGAAAAGAGGCTGTTGAGTTCTCAGATTCATTCCTTGCATGTAGTAATGTGACGTGTTGGTTACCTGCTGAGTGATACCACGTACATACAGAGAGCACAGTTTCCACTGGAATTAAGATCCCTCGGGGCTTTGCGTGTGCTGAAACATCTTTGAAATGCACAAGAAACTCATTTCAAGGGATCAGCTTGTTAAAAAGAAATAGATAATGTTCACAGAGAGGATGGCTGTGATAATAACCAGAAGTAAAACTCAAGACTGATGTAGAGTTGGGTGGTTTTTAAAGCGGATTTCCACAAAAGCCAACTGCGAGCAATTATAATTATACAAGGGGCATTTGATGTGACATCTTTTAGAGTTGTATTAATCCTAAGGTAAAATCAATTCATTTGTCTCTTAAAAGAGAGCCCATCTCCAGAAAGGTTGTCTTTTTTAATTTACCATCTCTTTTTAAGCCATTTTTGTGTGTATTGGCCCCTGCTCAATATCCCTGTCTCTGGGATTATCTCTCACAATAAGCTGCCATAGGGAGCATGACAAAAAGTGTTTTCAACGAGCATTCTCTTTTGCTCAGAAATTGCAATGGCATTAACTTTGCCAAAGGAAAGAGTAAATAATACTTGTTTTTGTTTAACTTGAGGGATTTTTCCAGTGCTGACTTGACTTGTCTTTTTAGTCTGTGTGACTAAATACATTGTGCCTCCTCTCCACTAAACGTGAATGTGTGCACACCATCTGATAAAGCAATGTCATTCACTGCTGTTCATTTTTAAACTAATTGGTTTTTACCTTCCTTCACATAAATTACCTGAATTTATCATCCAGAAGATAAACCTTGTTTATTCCCTCTGTACTGAAGGTTTGGCTCCTCTTAAGTAATGAAACATGTCGTTTAGCAGCTGTAACTCAAGAGTTTTGAAATAGATACATATGTGTACACAGAGGTAACTTATTAAATTAATTTAAAAGGGATAATTCTAATTATGCTAGCAATATTTTGAATACCTGAACTGACAAAATCAGAGCTCTAAAACGGGGTTGTTGCTACTTCAGAAGTACCACAGACAGGCAAAATAGTGTGAACAGCTCTGTAACTTGTCAGTGAAACCAGATCTTATGTTTGCAGAGCATTTTTCTATGCCCACAGCCAAACACACGTTGACAAATTGCAATTTTTGAAAAGATAAGTGTGAGGAAAGCAGAGTATTTGAAATAGCCATGGCAATACAGTGAAGAGCTGCAAATGCCCCTTCTCAGCTTTATCTTCTTGCTCAGAGAACTGGAACACAACCGTCCTTGTTTTTGAGATGGTGCTTTGTCACGTACTTACAAATAGGTTCTAATCTGTGTTTGCAGCTCTAGCCCTTACAAAACCTATAGAGTGTAGGTCTGCATTTTTGTACTGTGACCATCTCTAAAAACGGTCCATTCTGCAATGTTACACAGAAGAATGTGCATTAGGAAGGAGAATTCGAACACAGTGAGAAATATTACAGCAGCATGTGGCACAGTGTGCTTTCAGCTGCATGTGTTAGCATGTCAGCAGGTAGTTCTTGCACAGAACCAGTCTCAGTCACAAGTAATGATAAATTCCACTTGTTCTGTTTGTTACTACACCTCAAATTTCAGAGGACGACTATGACAGGTGTGTATTCTAGAAACACAGAACTAGCATTGCATCTTTATTCTATCTCTTAGATAGAGATAGATAGCTAGAATAGATAGATAGATAGCATAGATAGAATAGATAGAGTAGATAGCAGAGCAGATGTGTGACCGCTGCAGGACAGGCATCTGTGATAGGTGAGTTAAGAGACAGCAATTAATGGACTAACCTTGAGTGTGGGGCTGCAGAACTACCATCCTCCTCTGATGTCTGATACATGGAAAAAGGGAGAAAAACTGATCCTGTGGCCCCCGAGGAATCGCTCAATGCCAGGAGCTTGCTTTGTTTGGATGCAGCAGTTTTTGGATCTGGATGGAAGAGCGGATGGGGTGTCACATCCTTTCCTTCATCATCAAAAACCTGAAGAAATATTTAAATAATAATAGCAATGTCACTGTCTTCTCAAAGCAAATGGCAGTCATGAGCCATGCAACATTTTGTCTTATCTTGAACCAAAAGAAGACCCCGATCCAGGCAGCACACGGAGGTATTCACCCTCCTTGACTGAACAGGCATCCCTGTTGTGCAAATGGTGCCTAATATACACCACCAGTGTGAGCAAAGAGGGGCCGATCCCCACTTTCCCTTTAGGATTCAGACTTTAAAAGATTCTCATCTGTGCTTGGGTCTTCTTTGGAGCTGTCTTTACAGAAATGATGCAAAATATCTGAAAAGATCTGTGACCATCCCAACCATCCCACTGTCTGAGACAATTCCTCTTGTTCATCCCTGTTCTCTTTCCTGACTTACTTATCCTGTGACTACCAAGAGTGCCTCATTGACCATAACAATTAGTATCAAATTAGCAGAAGAGCAAAAGCAACTAGAGAAACAGCCATGTGTCTTTTTTGTATGATACTGCCCAAAATATCATTTTACTCTGACATTCAGTATGGTTTTTAAACAGAACTCTGAGCTAATGTTATGAGAATCTTCTGTTTTTCAGGTAAAGGCATGCAAATGCTACAGCCAACATCTCATTTAGATTTGAAAGCAAGTAGTTCTTAAATTAGGAGCACTGTTATCTTAAATTGCTTACCTTCAAATCAACACATTCTAAATTGTGAAAAAGAACATCATACTGTGCCCAGACAATTTTTTTTTTTTTCAAATAACTTACTTTAAAATTGTGTTTTTCTTAACTCAAGTGGAAGGTATGGTTGGCTTATCTCTCTAACTTCTGGAAGGCTCTCAAGACAGTTGCTCACCCCATAAAAACAGAAGAAGAACACCACTACTAAAAAGTAAAAAAAAAAAAGAAAAAGAAAAAGCAAACCAAGGCAAACTGTGTCAGTCTGTGGGTTTTTAAACCATGGAGAAACAAGTGTGCCTAACCGCTTTGTTTTTATTCTTGTAGATCAGTTTTGGACACTGATGCTGTGGGTGTCCCTATTCATGGCAGAGAAGTGGGACCAAATGGCCTTTAAAGGCACCTTCCAACTCAAACATTTCTGTGATTCTACGCTTGTCATTTCAGTCTGGACTGAGCTCTTGGATCTTCTTCCTTCTCCGCAGCTCTTTAGTTCCAGCTGCACCTCTGCTTTCCTCTTCCCTCTCCTCACAGCTTTTAGACTCCACAGAAAACTCCCACTGGAAGCGTTATGCAGCCTCTCACCCTCACATCGTGCTGCCTGTGCTCCTGGGCCGCCTTCTGCACAGCTGTGCCCGTGGAGGTGGGGACATGGCTGTGGCCTGAGATGCTCGCCTGCTTTCGGCTGCCAAAGGTGATCCTCAATTTTTGTCTCACTCTGAAACCAGAAGTGGTTTCAAATCACAAAATACAATCAACAGAATACAATGAACAAAAACTACCTATGCTTTAATTTTCATTTAAAATTGAATTCTTCTCTATCATTGTTCAGGATGATATAGTAAAGGGACATGAAACAGCAAAGGAATAACGTAGCTCCTTCAGAAGGTCTCCACTTGGCTTCTAAGGAGGCTTTTTCAGTGGTGGACAGGGCTGGGGGAAACTACGGTAAAACAGAAGTGTCAAAGGCGTTATGCTGCAGTCTGGGGCTGAAATAGCAAACGGGAACCGAGGAGCAGCTGAGACCCGTCCCGAGATCTCTCCTCCGGGGCGCCGCGGCCGCGCACTCACGCAGATAACCGCCGCGCTCCGTCCGGGCCCGGCATGGCGGCGCTGCTCGGAGGGGGCAGCGCGTCGCGCGGTAACCACGGCAACGCGCCCCAAAGACGCGGCGCGGCGATTGGCTGCCAAGAACGGCGCCGCCGATTGGTCCCCTCTCTCCCGCTCTCCTCGCGCCCGCTCGGCCTGAGGGGAGAGAGCCGCGTTGCGGCCCGCCCGTCCCCGGGGTTCTCTCCGTGCCCGGCGGGGCTGGGCCTACGGGCCGCCCCTTGCCCACCCCGGGGCTCCTCCCTGCCGGCAGGGCCGCGGCAGCGCCGGTCCCCGCTTTGTCACTGAAGCACAAAGGTTCTCGGCGGCCCGGGGAGGCGGCGGCTCCCTCCGCCCCTGAGGCGGGGAGCGGGGCCGGGGTTTGTGGGGCTTTCAGTCAGCGAAGCTGCACGCGGCGGTGCTCTTAGCGTCGCCCCGCGGGGCCTCTCCCGAAGCGTCGAGCCAGAATGCAGCGTCCCTGCCTCTGTCAGTGGCTGTGACGCCGGTTCGTACCCGCAGCCTCTGCGCCCTTGCGCGGCCCCGTGGGGCAGAGCTGCAGCCGCACGGGGATGGCTTTAGGGACAGCAGCATTAGGACGCGCTTTGTGTTTTGTTTCCCTTTCCGTAGGACCACCGCAGCGTCGCGCACGGCGCCGCTCCCCAAGACCGCGGTGGGACGACGCCTTCCGCGCCCCAACGTGAGTAACGCCGGCGGGAGCGCGATTTGCTCGATGCGGAGCGACACCCGGACCGTTTGGGCTCCGTGGGCGGCACCGAGGGGTTCCGCCGACCGAAACACCCGGCGCCTTTCCGTACCGCTCCGCCGCCGCGAAGGCGCGGCGCTGACGGGACGGGCCGAG